TTCTCTTCTTGTCCCCTTCCTGTGACTACCTTTTCCCTGTGCCCTTCTGAACTATGCATTCCTGCCTGTCCAGTTTTCTATCTATGGGAATGCTGCCCCTCTGGGGTCTCATGGCTGATTGATCTAAGGGATGTATCTCCCTAGAGTAGGTGGGTGCATCACCCTGGGGTAGGTGTTCTGCATGTAGGCCTTTCTACTATTGGGCTGAAAGCTAATCCATGGAAGTAAGTCCACTTCTAGACCCGAAGGGTAGTTCAAGGCCATAGTCTCAGGGTTCCACCAGTCTCTGTCCAACCAGTGATTCTGATCATTTTTGTGTTTTTGAATTTGGTTCTACATTTTTCCTCCCACTCTATCCAAGATCTCCAGTTTTGATCCCTTTCCAAGTAGTTGGCCATTGGTAGCTGGGCACCATCTAGTTCTGGTCTCAGGGTCATGAAGACTGAGTTCCTCATGGTCCATCTTATCCTTGGATTAATTGTTTCAAGATGACTTTGATTCTCTTCACTCTTCTTTGCTTCAGATGAGAGGAGACCAATAGCTGCATCTTAGATGGCTGCTCAAAAGCTTTTAAGACACCAGTCGCTACTCACCAAAGTAGGTTGTAGAAGAAAATTTTTATCTACTATGTTGTGCCAATTAAGCATAATGCCCCTGAGACTATGGTCCTGAGTCCACAGGCCCAGATATTCTCTTTCTCAAGGTGTTTGGTAGTCTCTGAGAAGTTACTCCAACTCTGTTTTCTGTTGTATAGTTTTAGTTTCAGGATTTGTGTAGTTTCATAGAACATATTGCATTGGGCAGATCTGCTTCAAAAGACCTTATTAAAGTGTTAAGAAGGAAAGATGTCACTTTTGAAGACTAAGGTGCACCTGACTCAAGCCATGGTATTTTCAGTCACCTCACATGTATGTAAAACCTAGGCAGGGAATGAGGAAGACACAGAAGAATTGATACCTTTTGAATTATGGTGTTGGTGAAGAATATGGAATATACCATGGACTGCCAGAACAATGAACAACTCTGTCTTGGAAGAAGTACAGCCAGAATGCTCCTTAGAAGTGAGGATGGTGAGACTTTGTCTCACATACTTTGGACATGTTTCAGGAGGGACTAGTACCTGGAGAAGGACTTTAAAAAAAAAAAAAGTCACTGCTATCGAGTCAAATTCAACTCATAGGGAACCCCTTTGGGTTTCCAAGGCTGTAAATCATTATGAAAGGAAGCTGTTTCATCTTTCGTCTGCAGAGTGGCTGGTGGGTTCAAAGTACTG